GTATTTTGAAATTTTGAAATTAAAAAAATGTATGTAAGTATGTATATATTTTAAATGTTAGTAGTGAAAAAACACATTTGTAAATTGCATATTTCAAAAATTAAATTGTGACAGCTCTTCTTATTTATAAGTAACAAAAGTAATAAAATTATTCGGTTTTACGAGTTATTTCACCAAAAATTCGACAAAACTTAATCATTGCCACTCATTTAATTCGCTATGGTTCTCGAAATTTAAAATTAAATTACAAAAATTAATTGAATGTCGCAAACAGTAGCGGGATAAACGAGTAAAAATGATTAATTGCAACGGTTCTCATTTTTACTAAACAACCACCCCGTTACATAATTAATATCGAATTTTTGAATTGAGTTCGTAAAACCTAATAATTTTGTAACTTTTTTTTTATTTATAAGTAAAGATGTCAACATTTAATTTTTGATATTTGAACTCAGCATTTGACTGAAAAAATTTCCGGTAAAAGGCTTATTTTATGTGTCATATCGTAGCGTATTGTCGTACTAGACCTTTGTCTAATATGACTTTACGCACCAGGTGAACCTTTTTCCAATAAAGTCAAAAACTGTCGCCGTCTCAACATCTGTGGTTAAGACGACTCTACTCTTTAACTTTAACTATGCTCAAAACGACTAGCTAGGTCATGATCTCAGGTCTTTTAGGAGTTGCGGTGGGATAGAACCTCCCAAAAACTCGCCAGAATATTTTGTTTTAAAAGACTTTTGGACATATACTATACTACATATACATATACTATACTACATATACATATACTATACTACATATACATATACTATACTACATTGTAACATTTAATACTTATTTTGATCAATGTTATAAAAAAATAAATTCGAACTTAGTGCAATTTAAATCGTGAATTATAAATTATTGTCTTAACAATCTAATTTATTCAATAAACGAAATTAACTCTAAAATTAAATAATTAAATAATAGCATGAATTCTCGAATAAACTCAATAATAAATAAAATGAATGATAAATTATTCATTTAAGTTCGCTTTTGTCTCATGAGTTGTTTAGGCTCTGTGAGTTGGAACCCTTAAGATGAATATAGGATGGTAAACTAGATTGTTTCTTAAGTTCGCATTTGGCACTTTGAGATGTTTAGACTCAACGAGTTGGAACCCTTAAGATTTGACAAGACCGAGCGGAGCATGAAATAATTCTCAGACCATAGTTAAAATTAAATAAATAATTTATTTAATAACTGCTTCCGAGCACTATCTGATGCCTCTTGCTCAAGGTTCAAGTCCTGACGGTGGCTATCAGTAGTGCTCTTATTACAACATGATACTTAATTTTATATAAGTTTTGATCACGCCATCGATACTTAATTTTCGGAATTACATTATTTCGCTTAAATCATCTCAACTGTTTTGATATTTATTTATTTTTTCTCTTACATATTTATTATTTATTTGTTTATTATTTTCATATAATGTTTATATAATCATAATGTTTATAAATAATGGGGGAGCGATTGGACCGTCACAACATATACATATACTATACTACATATACTATAGCACTAACAGTACTATAAGCCTTGCAAGCTTATTTTTTTAATTTTTTTCTTCTAAGTCTCGATACGTCGTTCATCTGCTCAGTCATCTATCAAGCAGTCACCCGCGTTCTTACCTCTCAGTATGGTTTCCGTATAGGTAGCGACTAAGCACCACCATTCGGGTTCATGCAGCATTACCACCACAATGTTATCGGAGTGATGCTGCCGACCGTTCCTTCCAGTTCCTGTCTGAGTCTTGTCCAGCGGTCACACGCGAAAAACGTGTGTTCCGCGTCGTCTCGTTCGTGTCCACAGTACTTAGAGTCGGGTATTCGTACTCTGCTCATATTGTAAAGGTACCGTCGGAAGTACCCGTGACCCATCAAGAGCTGGGTGACGTAAAAATTTACATGGCTAAATTTCCTTCCGAGCCGCAGCCTCAAGTCCCATATCAGTCGTCTCGTCCAGTTACAACCTCGTTCTTCTATCCACCGGCCTTGCCAGATATCAATCGTCCTATCACGCTCGGCGATTGTCGCGCTCTTTCGTTCTATGTCCGCGCTGCTCCCGTAGATCTTTTTGCGTTTAAAGGCCAGGAGATGCACGGGTATTACACCCGCCACCACCAAGACAACCTGCGCAGAAACTGTTCGGTAGGAGCAAGCGATTCGCAGTGCGCCCTCTCCTCTCTCTGTACTATCATCATCGTCTTACAGTATTTCTTTATCTTCAGGGAGTCTGCCCATATTTCCGTGCTGTATAGGAGGATTAAGTGTGTAGTCGCCATTATCAGTCGCCGTTTCCCTGATCTCGGTCTCGTTGTGTTTGCCATCAGACGATTCGAAAATGCTATTCTCTCTACCCCTTTCCGGGCTGGCTTCTGTATTTGAGGCCAGAAGGTCATCTTCGTACCGAGGATTACCTTAAGGTACTCGACTTCCCTCTTGGTCTCCATCTCGTATATCCCCACTTTCATGTGTAGTATGCGACTTCTTGCGAGAAACGTCAGCTCCGTCCTTTCTGTTGCGAGTGGCAGTCCGTGGTCTGTCATCCATCATCCAATTTATCTCATGATCAGATTTAACGTCAGGTGCACCAGCTCAAGAGACCTCTTCGTGATCACCGCAGCCACGTCATCATCGTAAGCGACGAGGGTCACTCCGAACGGCATCCCAAGTCGAAGCAGGCTATAAACAAGATATATTCCAGAAGTCAGGTCCCAGTATCGACCCCTGAGCCAACCCAGCGATGACCTCTCTCGTAATCTGTCCTTCGATCGTCTCTTACGTTATCCGTCTGTTTTTCACGTAATCCTCCAGAACCCAGACTAAGTATGGTGGAATCTCGAAATTGCTTTTCAGCGTCTCCAAGATATCCCTTCATCTGGCCGAATTGAAAGTATTTCTAATGTCGCCAGCAACACGATGAGTCACGCCACCTGTGTAGTGTCTGTTCAGTTTCAGGAAAGAGTTTACCACCTTTTGAATCGTTTCAATCGTCGATCGACTCCTCCTAAAACCGAACAATAAGTCTAAGAGACCCCCTCCGGCCTGTATCGCGTCCTTCAGTTCTCGGTTTCAATAATTGTTCAAAGAGTTTGCCAGTTGTGTCAAGTAAACTCAATGGTCGGTAGTTGGAAGGCGTGTCAGGATCGCGTCTTTGGGATAAGGACGAGCCTTGCCTCTTTCCACCGATCGCTGAATGTTTCTTTCGTCAAGCACGTGTTGTACAGATCGAGAAGTATCTCCGGTCGTAGACAAGCCACGAGCCGGAAGATCTTGACCAGTACTGTGTTTGGTCCCGGCGTCTTGCTCGTCTTCATCGCATTCGTTGTTCTGGTGAGCTCCTCAGCGGCAAAGACGGGGGGCACCGGTGCGTCCACGTCGTCCATCACGTTCGTCCGAATCGGATGCGTCGGAAACAATCCGTCAACAATCCGTCCTATTGTTTCAACATCTTTGAATTCCGGTGGGACTCGAACTCCTAGTTTGCCGGTCACAAAATTTTACCCGCCCAGGGATCCTCGTTCACCTCCTCGCAGAGCTTCCTCCAGTATTGCATCTTGTTGCTCCGTATTGCTTTCGACAGCGTCTTCCGTGCTGTTTTGTATATAGCCTGGAGGTTTTCCCTTTCGGGTCCGCCCCAGCCTTCATCGTCGATTTGCCAGGTGTAATTATCCTGCGAAACTCGGCAATCTCGTTCATCCACCAGTATTGCGGTTGTCTTTTTTGTATCTGTCGACGTTTCGGCAATGTACTGTTGCACAAGCTGTTTATTAGTTTGGCCGTCTCGTCTGTCACTCTTTCCGCTCTTCTCCGGCCCGTTAGCTGTGTACTATAACGGAGTACGTCGTGTCCATGCCCAGGTTTGGTCTGACCAAGATAGCCAGACCCCTTTTCCGGTGGGCTGGTCCGCCCCTGTTAGATCAATTCTTTGCATCTGTTTTCTTTTTTGTCTTGTTTGTTCCTTTTCGTGTGACCGTCTGCCAGTCCTTGGTCGCTTCCATTGTCGATGGCCTATTTTGTAAGGGCTCCGGCGTGGTTCCGATCGACGAACGTTTCGTGTATTGTTGCTTTCTTCGAGACGTCCTCCCGAAACTGCGTCCAATCGCTTGTGCAGCGCAATGTCCATAGTCTCGAGAATTGTCTTAATTCCCATCTTCACTGTCATATTCATGTTCTTTTGTACATTCGCTGCTTTGACTATTTTCGTCTTCGTCTCTTGTATGAGCTGTAGCAGTTCAGTCAAGTCTTGTGTGTTGTTTGTCGTTGTGAGTGTTCGTCCTGTCGGCTATTCTCGGTTCTGAGCGGTAGAGACGTAGCACACCGCGCTGCCTTCGCTTGACACACTGTCTGTCCTCTGTCATTTTGGTAAGTTTAGTAAAGTCTTATTCGTGTCGTTATTTCGTGTTTTCCTCCTCTTCCCCGTGCACAAAGTGTGGCCTTCAAAATCCTTGCCGCTGCCCACGGCCACGGGGGCTTTCACCCGATCGGAACCCGGGGGATCCCCTTCATTCGCTTTCGGACGGCTCCATTTCTAGGAGTCCCCGGGCATTCGCTTTTACGGTAAGACCCTTTTATTAGGTTATCAAGCATTCCCCTCGCCGGTTTGCCGAATGGCATGTGTGTGTGAGTATAGGTGTGCGTAAGAGATGAATGGTTGGGCACATCGGCAGAATCTTTTGCGTCATTTGTGAGCCATATCTTTCTCTCAGCCGTGTCCGTTAGCGTTATTGCTAAGAGCATTGACGAGATAGACATTCCCACTGGGCACGATCGTGGCCGTTAGAAGTTAGCATTTGCTCAGTGATGTATAACTACTCCGTGTACCAGCCCGGCATTATTATTATTATTATTATTATTATTATTATTATTATTATTATTATTATTATTATTATTATTATTATTATTACTATTATTAATATAATTTTAATTTTATTATAAAATTCTTTATTATAGTTACGCAAAGCTGTTTATAAAATGCCTACTGAAAGTGATGATTCAAGTAAAAGTGTTGCATTAGCTTTGCAAAGAGTATTCCATGAATTACAATTTTCTGATAAACCAGTTGGAACTAAGAAATTGACTAAGAGCTTTGGATGGGAAACATTGGACTCATTCATGCAACACGATGTGCAGGAGTTTTTGCGTGTTGTAAGTATTATTGTATGATATAATCTTACATCATATTTTATTTTATTTATTTAGCAAATCCCATTGTTCCAAATCATTCTTTGGTTACATAGCACATGTGATGATTCAAAAGATGTATAAAATTTTAAATTTTCTACAAGCACACAAAAAATTGGTGTATATATAAATAAAGACATACGTATATTTTTGTGTTTTTTGACACATTAAATCTTATTTAGTAATCAGTTTTCACTAGTAGATTATGTTCAAGGATATTTTACGGTGAAATTCAGCAAAACATTGTTTGATTGAAGATTACTAGTAATTTGTTAATTAAAATTACAATTCACTACAAGTAAAAATGATATTTAGATAATTACGACGTATCGAAGTCTTTATTTATGACTTCCTCATCAGGCTATAAAATAATATACAAACCTCAGCTCAAAATCTTTTCAAACATGTATGAAAATTAATACACCAAGTCCATCGTTCATACTCATCAATAAAAAAATTTTTTAATAAAAACTAATTTAAGTGATTGCCACACATGGTCATAATAAAAAATTAATTGATTATTTGTAACCTATCGAGTCATTGAAACCAGTAACTGAAAATTTATTTATTGGTAAATGTAAATAGCAAAGTAATTTGTGTAAACGTGGTTTTTAATAGAAAGTTATTTATAACGTCTTTATAATATTCTTCAGGTTGTGTTTGAGAATTGTACTTCATATGAAGGATCAAACGTGTTTGTTTCCTTTTATTGCAAAATGAATTATTATTCATCTTATAATATTCAGCTTTACGAATTGACCTTTTTTCCATATATTGAAAAATCTCGCAAAATCATATAAACACACGGTGTTTAACTCTTCAGGGCGGTGTGGATAGTATTCGAGGTGTGTTCAAAAAATAACGAGAATTTTCGTTTTATGAAAAAAATATTTATTTATTCATCTACATTAATGTTGTCGCCTTCAAAGTAGTCCCCTTCGGATACAATACACTTATGCCAACGCTTTTTCCAATCCTCGAAACACTTTTGAAACTCGATCTTTGTAATAGCTTTTAGCTCTTTCAGCGATTCGCTTTTAATGTCATCTATGCTTGTAAAACGACGGCCTTTTAATGTTCTCTTTATTTTTGGAAATAGAAAAAAGTCACATGGAGCCATATCTGGCGAATATGGAGGCTGAGGCATCGTTACAGTTTCGTTTTTGGCCAAAAATTCACGAACAAGCAGTGAAGTGTGAGCAGGCGCATTATCGTGGTGCAAAAGCCATGAATTGTTTTGCCACAAATCCGGGCGTTTTTTTCGGATTGCTTCACGCAAACGACGTTGAACTTGTAGGTAGTACTGCTTATTGATTGTTTGACCTTGTGGCAAGAATTCATAATGCACTATGCCATTAAAATCGAAGAACACAGTGAGCATAACCTTCACATTCGACCGCACTTGTCGAGCCTTTTTCGGTCTTGGCGATCCAGAATGCCTCCACTGGGACGATTGAGCCTTAGTTTCGACATCATATCCGTAAACCCATGTTTCGTCACCTGTTATAACACGTTTTAGTAGTTCTGCATCGTTATTGACTTCATTTAGTGACTCCTGAGCAACTTCCATTCGCCGCTGTTTTTGTTCGAAATTCAACAATTTTGGAACGAATTTTGCTGCCACACGTTTCATACCCAAAACATTCGAAAAACTTTGATGGCATGAGCCAACTGATATGCCAACATCATCAGCGACTTCTCTGATTGTGATTCGGCGATCGTTCATAACCATTTCTTTCACTTTTTTCACGTTTTCATCGATTGTTGACGTGCTGGGTCGACCGGAGCGTTCGTCATCTTCAACGTCTTCGCGGCCATCTTGGAAACGCTTATACCACTCGTAAACACTTGTTTTTTTCATAGCAGACTCACCATAGGGTTTTTGTAACATTTCACACACTTTGTTACACTTTATTTCATTTTTTACGCAAAATTTAATACAAATTCTTTGATCCACTTCTTTTAAAAAAAAAAATCGCCGATCTCATAAAAACACGTCAAACCTTAGCGACTACCGCAGACAAAGTAAACAGTGAATATAGCTGAAAATTTTATCATACTTCAGGGGCATGTATACCAACACAAAAAAAAATTTTGACAATCGGACTCTCCAGACCCGCGAAATTTAAAAATTCCGGGTATTTTTTGAACACACCTCGTAAGTTAGAAAACTTAATAAATATTCAAGATACAATTACATTAATGAACAGAAGTATATTAGTCCATTATGCGACACAAATTAAAATTGTGCTTGTAATAAACAAAATTGATTTCAATAAATAAAATAACATATGTAACTTTTTAACTATTTTTCTTTTATGTTCAAGTTTTAAAATTAATTGTGCAGAAATTAAGTTAATTAAAGGGCCAACAAAGCTCGAGAACACAATCTCCAAACAATAAATTTATTAGATAGTTTACACTCGATACTTCATTTAAGCTAGGAATATACTAAGTTTTATGTAAACGACTCTAGTACGACCCATGAATAATGCACAATTTTTCCCTTCTCATTCCATATTATTTATACAAAAAATTTAGTTAATTACTTAAGTTACAAATTATAAACACGTAGAATTTAAGATTTTCGGATGAAATATATTTAGATATTATGTAACCCGCGCTATTATCAAGAATAATCTATGAAAATTTATATAATAAATAAACTATTAATTATAAGATAAAATTGTAACGAAAATGGTACTTGGAGAGCCATCTAACGAGATAGGGCCCATACTCTTGAACGATCGCCCCCGATTTCCACCACGCCCCCGAACCAATACCAAAAATCCAAGTACCAGAAAGCCACGTTAAATAAAAAAAAAGTAAGTTGAAACCAAATTTTTCTTTGCTATCTTATTTCCTCTTTCAATCTCTCCTAGCTTAACAAATTGAAACGTGAGAAGTTTAAGTCTTCGAGAAATATTTCAGCAAGATCTGGGATATATCTCTATAAGACAAACGCGCCGCTTAAAAGTCACTTAAATAAATTTTTGTGATTATTCCAGCAAGGTCTGGGATACTCTTATACAAGTTCGGATTCCATTGGATCATGGTATTCGATGGGAGACTTGTAGTAAGAAACTTTTTTTTACAACGCAAATCGAATGTAGTAGAAGCTCTAATTCTCCAATTGCTTATTTTGGTTTAGGCGTACGCACGCAAACTGAAAAGAGCAACTGAGAAACCGTCTGGCTCAGACGTTCCTGAGAAAGTGATCCGGACGTCACAGTATTGATTACATAACTAATTATTTTTACCTTTTGTACCTTAAAGTAAAGGTATAATATTAGTTAGCTGCCCGTTTTCTTTCATCACTATAACGTTTATTTTATTCGAATCAGTTACAAGTAATCCTTTTTCAAAGTCATAAATTGCTTCTGAAAAGTATGGCTCTGAATGTGAAGAATGCACAAATCACATTGTTAATGTTAGTGTTTGTTACGCAAATATCCTCTAAACGACTTAAAGAGACTATCACTTTGTCTTTTAGATTTTTTAATGTTACACAATTATAATTTACTTGAAGTCATTGTCTTGCAGTGTGCCGAACGTTTATGATAAAATATTTCTTTTTTATTTTTAAAGCATGTTTACATTTGGACTTGTCCAATTTATTTTCTTGATTGCAATTTTAATAATTTTTCTAGCGCTTTAGAATTTGCTCCCTATCTTTTGCATAATAATTTTTTTGATATGCTTTTAATATTGTTTGATTATTAGAGTAATAATTTTTTTTATAAGCCAATTATTTTTTTTGTATGTTTTGCATAATAGTTTCTTTTTTTTCTGTCTTTTTTTATAATTCAACGGTAAATTTTTCTCAAACGATTGTTCGAGTTTATTATGTGAAAGACATTCTTTTCTTGCCGTGTTGGTTTTTACTCTTGTTAATATTGAACTAAGCGAATTGACATTGTTTAAATCTATTTTTCTCTTATTGAATTTCTGCTGAAGTATTACTTTATAAGATAAACATTCAGATTCATTTTGAATATAATTTTTTGTTTTTTTATTGTTTTTATTTCCTTTCCATTGATTAACATGTTTCACTGTTTAATGTAATATTTGTATTATGTGAAATTTTACGTTTTCGGTAGTTTGGTGCCGTACGTGAAGAAAGCGATTGTTCTTCAACCTATTATAAAAAAATAACGTAGGTATTCTTTATATATTGTGGCTAAGGTATTTCATCAATATCTAAATCATTGACTGAGAACCAGCGTTCACTTTGTCTTACAATGTTAACGTAGTGCCCGCTGAATTGCGTTATTTCTTCATGAACTATAATACTGTTGACTAAATATGTTTTATTATTAATATAAACATATTGTGCAATGTTCGATCTAAAAATAGATAGTTGCATCGGTATTACTTTATTAACAGTAGTAAAAATAATAGTTTCATAAAATTTTACTTTTTTACAAGTTGTATAATGTATATCAGTAGGTTTAGAAGATTCAAAATGTTGACGGATTAACTGTTCCGATTTACAAGATAACATTATTACATTTATTATCATGACACGTGAAAATTGAACCCATTTTATGTTCAATCGAAAGCTGTAACCTTTTAGATTTACTTTCAAGGATGAGAGAATCAAATAAGTGACTTATTTGTGATTTTACAATTTTCTTTTCTATCTTTAAAGTTAGAAAAATATATTAGATAGACATCAGTCGGTGTTTATCGTGATTTTGACAGATCTAAATTGGACTTTGATTTTTTATGTAAATTATCGATCTTGATAATATTAACACTCAAATATGAAAAATCCGATGTTAATTTAATTTCCGTACAATTGTGACGTATCCGGTTCTACCGAGCAGCCATATGTATATACGTACATGTATTCATAGAATATTTTTTTGCTGTGTATATTTAGATATTTACAAACAATGCCTATTTTCATTCGTCACAGTCAGTGCCACGATTTTTCGCGGGCGAGTTGCACATTTCATTGT